TGAAAGAGCTCTCTCAGCCCTACCTACCTCACAGGGTGTCTGTTTTTAAATGGTAAGCCAATCTGCATGAACAAGATGGGGGGGGGGACATTCAGATCAGAGTCTTTTCAAAATTTCCTTTTCCCGTGTGCAGCCCAGAGAGAACATTGGCAAGAAATGTGCACGCTGTACATGTTCATGCTCTTAATTTTGCTGTTACTTAAAATGGTGTGGTACAGTTTCAAAGGGACAATTAACTGGGATATGTAAAAGGAAGGACAGGATTGCCCACTGGAAACAATGGGAGAGGCTTGAAGGCCCATTGGAGATAATGGGAGCCCGGAATGCCATGATCCTTATTTGATTTTCATGTGAGAGTCTTTGCTGATCCTTATTGGATTTTCATAATGAGCTGCGCTGTCAAGGGTGTGGCCTATTATGCTAATGGTTCCTGCTGTTGGTTGTTGCCTATTATGCTAATGGGTTCCTGCTGGGCTTTTTCTACAATAAAAGCCCTGCCCACATTTATACCCTCCCACCCCGATTGTGAACAACTCTGTGTGCTGTGAGGGTGAAAGTGGGTGCAAAGGGTGTTTGTCATGAAGGAAAGAAGTCCTCTACCCCTTGCATACCACAGGTCCCCATCCCTAAGCACTAAACCCATCCTGCCAGCCCTCTGGAGCCCAGCTTTAGCAGGGCATCAGCAGGGGTCTTGGAGACTCCTTCCCCTGATCTGTTCCTGAGGCTCTCCATAAAGGCAAAAGAGCTGATCGCATTGCCCAGAGATGCTGGTAGTTGTTAACATTCTTTGGAGAGGAGGGCTTTGACAGCAGTGATTCAGAGGCTGGGAGGGAAGCCCACAGTTTGGAAAAAGTTCTGCACCCTCCCCAATGACCCCTTTGTGGCAGAGTACCAGGTGCGCTGCATCCATATTCGGAGGGGTACAAATCCCCAACATTTATTTGTTTGTTTGTTTGTTTATTTATTGGATTTTTATCTTGCCCTTTCCTGTGTGCAGAGCCCAGGGCAGCTCACAACAATTAAAACACAGATAAAACAATAAAAAACATTCTACAGTTATAAAAAATTAATCACACCAAGATGGCCTATAAATCTAGGGGCATGCTACTATGGGTCTATAAAAATTCCGAAGATTGACAATGGGTAGTGAGTGATCACCCCCAGCAGTCACTGAACACAGCAGGTCAGAGGGTAGAGCAGGGGAGGCCAGAATAACAGGACACTCATCACATCAACCAAAGGCCCGTTGGAGCATCTCCATTTTACAGACCCTGTGGAACTGAAGCAAATTCCACAGGGTCCTGATCTCACTCAGAGATAGGCTTGCCAAGTCCCCCCAGGAGGCAGGGAAACCCCCGCCCCAGAGGCCCGTTCCCCGCTGCCGCTGGATCGGGCCCCTGGGGGAACTCCACCTCGACGTGCACATCACCAGGAAGTGACATGACCACGCCAGGCATGCTGGGGGCGGGGCCACGGTCATCCGAGGGAAAACTCTATGGTTTCCCCTCGGATGGTCGTGGCCCCGCCCCCAGCGTGCCCGCCATGGTCGTGTCACTTCCTGGTGATGTGGATTTGGCACACGCAAAGCGGGATCGACACGGGAGTCCCCCGCTTCAGGAGAAGGTAAGACTTGGCAACCCTACTCAGAGAGAGTTGCACCAGGCCGAAGCCAGTGCCAAAAAGGCTCTGGTCGAGGCTAAATGGATGTCCTTAGGAAGGGGGACCACCACCAGCTGTTGGACATAAGGCTCTTCAAGGGACATAGCAGGAGAGGTGGTCCTGTAGATAGGTAGGTCCCAGACAGTTCAGGGCTTTGAAGGTTAATTCCGTAACCTTGAACTGGACTTGGTACTCCACTGGGAGAATGCAGCTGGTGAAGCACTGGTTGGCTATATGCTCTAAAAGGTGCTCCCATATGGACACTTGCTGCTGCATTTTGATCTATTTGGAGTTTCCGAGTCCTCCTCTGTCCTCCACGGGTACCTGCAAAGGGTGCGCCCAAATATGTGGCTGCTCGGTGGTGTACCTAGCCTACTTGGCACCCAGGGCAGATAAATTTTTAAACCCCCCCATTTATTTATTTTTTGCCATTAAGTCACAGCTGACTTATGGCGACCCTGTAGGGTTTCCAAGGCAAGAGACCTTTGGTGGTGGTTTGCCATTGCCTGCCTCCCCATTGGCCCTGCTTAGCTGCTGAGATCTGACGAGATCAGGCTAGGCTGGGGCTATCCAGGTCAAGGCTCCTACTCGATATGACAAAATTATTTTTATTAATAATCATGAAATAAAACAAATAATAATAATGGCCAGAAAATAGATGCAGGTGGGTAGCCATGTTGGTCTGAAGCAGCAGGACAAAGTTTGGTCTTAAAGGTGCCACTGGACCCAAACTTTGTATTCAGTGGCCAGAAAAGAAATGCAGACAGTGAAGAATCTCTTGTATTTAACTTCATATGTATAATCATGCTAGTTAAAGAAAAAATTCAGTTTCTAACACACTGTTCCGTCATTGGAACCAGTGTGGTGTAGTGCTTAAAGTGTTGGACTAGGATCTGGGAAATCCAGGTTCGAATCTCCATTCATGCCATGGAAGCTTGCTGGGTGCCCTTGGGCCAGTCACATTACTCTAGCCCTCATCCTCTCCGGTCATCTTCAGAGGCTTGGCTTCCAGTGCCTCAACTGTCTGAGACTAGACAGGGGTGGGGAATCAATTAAGATTATCTGGTTTTCAGATGGCATTAGGAGATTTTCCTGTTGATATGGCTGGCACCTCTGTCAATAACCTGGTTGACCTGGGAATGAGAAAATTACCTGGGCAATTGAAACAGTTGCTCTTAGGAGCCCTTGCTCTGGTCTCTAACAACCCAGAAAGCCCCTTGATTTACTGAGAAGTTACAAAAAAATAAAAAGAAACTGGAAATAACAAGAGCAACAGTGGAGATAGGGTTGCCAGGTACCCCTTGGCAATCAGCACAGGTGACTTACCAACAGCAGGGGAGGCCTAGTCCAGCATTTCAGACATGTTGCTGGCAACATGTTTAAATCACTTTGAATGCACACCAGAAGTGATGTCATCACATCACCAGCAACACAGTGAAGCTCTGGTATTTTGGCTAAAACTCTATGGTAGAAGCCATTTCTCTATAGCGTTATTGCCCAAATACAACAGCACTGCCACATCACCAGTGATGCTATGATGTCACTTCCAGCATGCACATCCTTTTGGAAACAACTTTCTGGTGGGTGGACTATTCTAGTTGGTCCTCCAGCCTTGCAGGTACTTTAGTCTCTCTTAACTTAAAACCTATGACCATGACAGTGAATTATTTCATACCCAGGTCACCAGTTGTAAATTATGTATTGTTGCATATGTAAGTCCCAATATTAAGAAAACCAGTCCCTCAGCTGTCAGCAGCCATAAATTCCTGAGCCTTCCCGGATGGCATAGCCTTGGCATGGATGCTGTAGTCCTCCAGAAACTGGGGATCATGAGCATCAATGAACAAAAAAATGAAAGGCATATCTTCAAGAAAAGAAACTACAGATTTATGCCTGTTTTGGAAAAAAAATGAAAGCTGGGGATTCAGAGGACCTGTTGGATTGCTATAATGTTGTAATGAGATATCTATTACCAATTTAAAGCACAAAACAAAATAGGCCTTTCTCTCCAATTGGATCCAAGCAAAAGAGGAGCACAGATCGTTTCCATCCAATCATCTTGGGGGTTATCTTCAATTACTGCTGCCCCAGACTCTGGAATTGGCAGTCCATTGAAAAGAAAGGTGTCTGCAGTACACATGTGCAGAAACTCACCTACTTTGGTCTCTGGTAAAATGGAGCTCCTGTGCAACATGTGTTTAAATTTCAGAGGTCTTGAGAGGAGAGGAAAGACTGCATTCTGTGTGATTTTTGTGGCATTATGTTCAATGACGGCTGCACAAAGACACCCTTGAATTGTCTGTGCCTTGAAAATAATTTTGTCTGCAGTGTACATGCACAGAAATGAACTACTTTGGGTGGGGACCAGTAAAACTGAGCCCCTTTGCTGCATGTCCTTGAGATCTGGGAGGTCTTGATAGGACAAAGAGGGCTGAATACTGTGCCAGACCCAGAGACCCTTGAATTGGCTGTACATTGGGAAAAAATGTTGCCTGGTGTCTGCAGTATAGTCCCCAAAATCCAGAACATGAAATCACCACACAGATTTCTAACATGAACCAGTAAAACCCTGCCTGAAATGAAGCAATTGTGATGTTAAAAAATCCCGCTCCCACAACCCTGGAGCACACCTCTATATACTGGTACGACTGCAATCCAGTGCATCTATGTTGCATGCACATTTGCAAAGAAGTGAGCCAATGGGAGTTCCTGATAGACTATAAAATAAGAAGACTGAACATGTGGAGACAACGACAGCTATATTGTTCTGATATTCTTAAGACCTGGCAGAAACTAAAGGCATGCTTGAACAGAAGAGAAGCCAATGTTGGATCAGGCCAATGGCCCATTTAGTCCAACACTGTCACACAGGGGCCAAAAATACCAGGTGCCATCAGGAGGTCCAGCAGTGGGTCCAGGACACTAGAAGCCCTCCCACTGTTGCCCCCCCCAAGCACCAAGGATACAGAGCATCACTTGCTCCAGCCTGAGAGTTACTATCTATACCTTGGTGGAAGTGCTGGTCTCAGGCAAAGAAAAGGATTACCTAGGGCCAGAAAGAGTTGACTTGCTGATGTAGGGAGAGTTGCATTTAGAACCCATTCCATTTAAGGATGTGTTGTCAGGATGCCTAGGACAAACAGCATAGGTGGTGCATTGGACAGAGCATTCATAATCACAGGAGACAGAGTTCTTTGGAGAAGAATGAAATAACAGAGTACCAGTCAGATGGATGCAAATCTCATTTTAATCAATGAAGGAAGATGTACAGGAAGAGCCAACTGTTCATTGTTCTTTGAAATCAAGTGGTTTCTTTCTCTTCTCTGGTCACAGGTGCGTGGTCTTGCTGAGGTCTCCATTGGGTTTGTGCTCTCTATTAGAAACCCTGGCAGCAGTAGATCCCCGGCAAGCAATTTCCGACACTTTTCTCATTATGTAAGCAACTGTGTCTGCAACTGCCTCCCATAGTTTTACACACAATGCTGCTTCTTGGGTGAGCAGCTCCTAGACAAATGAGACAGAGAGAATTATTGTCCCATCTGCAATTAATTACATTGTACCTTTCCCTAATTCAGCCAGGGGTTACAGAAACAAGGCCACAGCCTGAGGGAGATGCCACCAGCAACCACCCCCCGCTGCCACCATTCCTTGCTATTCTTCCTGCCTCTTGTCTGCCCCCTACCACATCACATCTCACAGCCTGCCCACCTCCATCCCAAAACATCTCACTTCCCACCCACTCCACCACCTGTCACTGCAGGAGCCCAGAGCCACAGTGGCTAACAGTCCTGCTCCACTTGTTTCCAAAGGAGCCATGAAAGAGCATGGCAAACTCAGTGAGAAGATGTGAGAGTTCAGGGAGCCCCACAGGATTTGTGCAGTTTGCCTGGAGGTCTTGAAAGAGGCTTGGAGAACAAAAACGGGAAGGACTGTTAAATGCTCCAGCTCCAGGATGAGGGAGGGGGCAGCACAGCAACAGTGATGAAGATGATGATGACAATGGTGACAATGAAGGGAAGATGGTGAAGAGTGCATGCCCCTCCAGGTACGTCACCCAAGACCCTTGCCTCACCTCACCCTCATATTTGACCCACTGATGTTGTCCATGTGCTGCCCTGGAGATCTGCACAGGTTTCAGCACGAAGAGCTTCAGGGGGATCATGCGCTGTGGCTTGGGGGGGGGGATCACTGCCAAAACCTTGGAGATCTCCATGGCAGCATCACTGACAGCAACTTTGTATCTGACATATATGCTGATTTCTGCAGTGCAGTTCATCCACCGGGACAGAATTTTTATCTGTTGGAATACGTTAATAAGATGTATTAGGCTCCTTGCCTTCAAATCAGAGAATGGTGTCCAACAGAACCATTCCAAACTATATCAGTGGGAAGGGAACTTGATGTCCTCAGTCTGCAGTGCTTTGAGTCACTGTGATGCAGAGATCAACAGCTGTTTTTGCAACTGAATGAAGCAACGATATATTTACAGTGAACAGAATCTTCAGTGTAAAAAATTAAGGACAGTAAAAACAGCATCAGATTAAGCTCGGAGTGCTTGTTGAAACTGTTCAGAACTGGAAGTGTCTTTATGTCTCCATTCTGAGGTTCATAAATTTCTTCCTAGGCAGATTTGCTGAACCCATAAGAGATCAACACCACCATCCTTTCTTTGCTATTGATGGTTGAGCAAAGCCCCCCCCCCCCCCCCCCCCCCCAGGGCAACAGCAGCAGGAGACCCACGCCATCTTCCCGTTTGTTTGCTTACAGGCAAATTCTCTTGGTCTTGGCTGGATACAACAGACAGAATTGTAATAAGATCTATCCAAACCATTTACACTAGGGTGTGGGATGATGATCTCCAACTCTGGATATTTCATCATAACATTTACAGAACTTTTCACCTCTGAGCACTAGAGGGCAAGGGAAACCAAACAGCACAGACCCAAGGAAGCCTGAAGCTCTTTGCCACACAACTGTGATATACTTTCTGATATACCACAGACTCCTCTCTAGATCAACCTCAAGAAACGTTTCTACTTCCACTCACCTTCTGCCTCTTTAGCATCACCTCCATCTTCCTCTGGGTTGGCATTTCCCTGGACCTGGAACACCAGGAAGGCCACAGCAAAAAGCAGGAAAAGGGTCTTCATAGTGGAAATCCAGCTAGGACCTCTCTTTTCTCTGGAGACAAATGTAAGGCTGGAGAACGGATGAAGGAGAGGACATCAGGGTCCCCGCATTTATACAGATTTTGATGGCAAAATGTCAAGGAATTTATGATAAGGCACACGTAAGATGCACTTGAGATAAGGGTAAAATTGCAACAGTGCAAACATCCTTGATGATCGTAAATGACATCTTAACAATGCTCTCTCACATGCTCAGTCTGCCATGTTGGTTAGCGCATTGCTTGCCTGGATAAATAATTCTTACTTCCCAGCTGTAGAGTTATTTGCTGGTCGTTAAGCAATTGCAGCCTTCTTCCTGGTGGAGAAAAAATACAATATGGCATAGTAAATTTGAGAATGAGGTGAAATCTGCAAATGTTGAGTTATGTATCTAATCTCTTAGATTATCTAATCCCTTAGAAAGCTATATAAGTAAACCATTAACTTCTAAAGTGATAGGGAAACAAGATAAGGAAGTTGGGGAAAGCAATTCTTTTATGTATTTGTCACATTTTTTTATCCTGGTTTTCTGCCATGAATTTTAATGTGGTACACATGTTTGAGCCCCATGACTCCACACAACTTCAGACAGGGATTGTTGATTGCACATTGTGTGTAGAGGTAAAAGAATAAAATTCTTTGCCACAAAAACTAAATTCTGTTAGCTTCATACAATTCCAAATTGTGCATTTTTATCAGGTATTTTACCAGTCATTTTTCTTAATATCTTGGATAATCTGTTCTGGATTGACATGTTATAGAAAGGAGCAAGCATGCTTTGGACCAAGCACTGCTGTATGGCATGTTTCAGGGCACACTCTCAGGAGTCAGGAGCCATAGGAACTGGGCTTGTTCACAGGTAGGAGACATAAGACCCTCCACAGTTCATTATTCGTCCACTCTCAGTAATGTAAACCTAGATGTTTCGGAGTGCTTTGCACAAAAAACTGTCTTGGACGATAATGTCAGCTATGTCAGCTGGCAGGGCACAGAGTCTATGGTTCGGTGGTCCAAAGCACCATTTCAGGGGATCAGAATATGAAGTCCCCCCCCCCAGTTCTTTACAAACCTAAAGGATTCATGGAAGGTACCTCACAGGGAGGCTTTAGGTGGGGCACCAGTCAACCTATGAGAGCTGCCGAAGACCCACTCATAGTAAATCCCTTGTTTCTGCACATTAAAACTTGAACTCTTGCATTATACAGTGTTGGGGGGGATGAGGTTGATAGGCAACATCTCTGTGCATAAGTTTAGTGCAGACAAGAAGAAGCAAGGCATGACCTGTGGCCATATCGATCTTGGAGCCAGAGTGGGTTGCTTGCCACACACACTGGCAACTGCAATGGGGCAGCCTCTTAGGGAACCCACATGATGCAGGTGAGAGAGTGAGTCTAATCATTTGTGCAGATCACATTATAATTAATAAACCCTGGTTTAACCCATGCATTTTGTCTCGGGTCTTCATTTCAGGGTATGGGAGCAAAAAGTGGGATTTAATAAAAAGATATTGATTGACAGACAGACTTCATCCCTTCCTTCCCACTCTAAACCAGTACAGACTTTGGGAGTTTTCTTCCCCTCAGATCAAAGTACTGACCAGTGTCTGAGAAGGTGCTGTTCTCCACCAGCATATCCTTGACTCCTCCGGCCTTGGATCATTCAAAGAGAGGTACCCATAGAGGGCAGCAGCCACATTAGTCTGGGAGAAATTCCCTGGAAGAACAAGGCTGGAGGCATTTGGGGTGAATACTCAGTAAACCCCTTTTTCTATATGATTTGAATGTCCCTCTTTCTGATACTGCATCATTCCTTATGTACCTTAGATATAGTATTTTCTTTGTCTTTTCATGTCTTAGATTTCAGAGATTTTCAGCATCTCTCAAGCATGAGGGCAACTTCGGTGGTGGAAAGTGCCATCAAGTCACAGCTGACCCCACAGGCTTTTCAAGGCAAGAGACATTCAGAGGTGGTTTGCCATCGCTTGCCTCCACGTCACACCCCTGGACTTCCTTGGAGGTCTCCCATCCAAATACTACTCCAAGCTGACCCTGCTTAGCTTCCAAGATGTGATGAGATCAGGCTAGCCTGGGCCATCCAGACTGGGCTGAGGGCAACTTTACACATCCTAGAACATGTCAGCTACATGCATATGTATTGAAAAGTCACCCTTTCATACATCAGAGTGCAACTAAATTCCATGTGCTCCAGAGCTAGTTGTGGGAAATCGTGTGAATACCCTTTGTCAAAATAATTTTTGTCTGTGAATTGCCACAGCTCACTCACTCAAGTCAACAAGTGTGTTTGCCCAGGGGTGGTGGCACCCAACCTAGCCTCTCCCTCCCTCCCTGCAGCTTCCATGCCATGTCCAATGGCCTTACAGCTGAGCAGGGTGCTGCTGCCACCACATCCGACACTGCATGAGCCCTCTCTCCTCCCATTCATCCAGCACAGACCTTGGCCAGAAAGGAAAACGAAATAGGCTCAGCACAGAAGGAGGAAGAAAAGCTTCAACAGAGGCCAGCAGTCAGTGCAGCAGCCCTTGCTACCACCCGGAATGGCCCAGCGGGGACAGCCAAGGTCAAGAGCCCCTGCCCAGCAGGGGAGGACTTGAAGTGATGGGCCAGGGAGGTCAGGAAGTGATGGCCCAGCAGAAGGTTCCTACAGGGAGGGAGCGGGAAGGCAACGAAGAGGGCCAGCCAGGTTGGAGAAGGCAATTTAAAGGGGTGGTTCTCCAGCCCCTAGCCCAGGTGGTAGCATGAGTAAGGCCGGGTGGGGCTACTTAAAGGATTAGGATGATGCATTTAAGGAGACACCAATACCAGGCAAGAGAGGAAAAGAGAAGGCGCTTGCCTTAGCTAAAGAAGCAACCTCCTGGGGAAGAAGAGGACAGAGTTAGGTGCTGAACCCTTGCTCCTATCCTCCTCGCCCTTGTTCGGAGTGTTGGTGAGCCCCAAAGAGGTGACATATGATGGCAGAGGAAAAGGGAATGGCTCCAGTGAGGACCTTCACAGTGTGAGAACTACTTGTGTGAAAGTTGGGCACCAGCATATTGTCAGAACTTATTGTGAACTATTTTTATTGCACTGCTAAGACAACAATTATATGTTGAGTAAATATGCAGTGTTCTATAAAGTCATGTTTGATTGTGAGACTTTTGTCATTCCCTTTGCTAACAATCTCACCATTGTTTACTGGGTTGCAAAACAGCTGACTGTCAGAGTCTCATTGAAATGAGGAGAGTTATCATCATGCCAGCTTGTAAGCGTCACATTGGCTTCTAGGAATGTCACAAATGTCACAGGGAAAGTGTTCAGTGCTGAACATATTATGTTCAACACTTGTGAGCAGAACTGAGCCCAGTGTGAACAACTTGGGTATTGTATTTATTATTATTTTATTTTAAACATTTATTTGTCACCTTTCTTCCTTATGGACCTTGAGGTGGCTTACAACATACAGAATATACATAAAACAGAATACATTAAAAACGTAAAATTCAAAATTTAAAACCACCATTCAGAACTGCTAGTAAACTTAGCCAAATGTGTTTTTGAGAAGGAGACTGATATTTGCTGTTTATGAATTTATATATATATATGCTAACACACTACATAGATTGTGCGCGCACATTTGCTCAAAGGCTCAAAGGTAAAGCTGTTTGAATCGCCTGTTGTGAGAGAGAGGTTTTCACATAGAAGGTACTGAACTACATTTCATGCTAATGAGTTTGCAGACACACAAACACAGCTACTAAGCCGTATGGGAAGAAGAAGCACATTTCGCCATTGTTAGCAGGAGATACAGCTTAAAAAGACAAGTATTCCCCCATTGCTGAGAGACGATGTCATGTTTTACACGGAGCTAATCTGCATCTGAATTGCCATTTCCTGGTGGACATGCCTAGAGTCAATGGGAAGACTGATATCGATCTGCATTTCAAGAGGATGTCTTGGCGCTGAGGTTTCACACCTGACCAGATGGCTTTCCATGAGTTAGAGTCTAGAGTTTCAAATACTGGCCCAACCCTTAAAGGTGCTGCCCCTCACTATAAACACCAATAAGAAGTAAGGATGGGACGGACTACAGATAGGTGGGATCTCAGTTTGGCTAGGTTGCCACCCACCAGAAGATTTGACTATAAAACGCGAAGACCATGCTTTGCTAGCTGCTTTTGCTAGCTGCTACGCCCCCCTGCTTTAACTCCCCTTTTGCCCAGCCTGCTAAAACCCTTTGTCTTTAGTTGATCCTTTGGTGTGTGCAGCCAAAGAGATCCATACTTTGCTGGCTGGGTCTAGCAAGTGTGGTTTAGTTAACACCCCTAGGTACTACTGTCTCCCCCTATTTTGCATTGCATCAGACAAGACTTCTGGAACGGTTGAGCATAAACCGATACCTATCTACCTCCAAGTAAATGAGAAACTATCTTGATATCTTTCTGTAACTCCAAAGGAACCTTGAGTGTATGCAAATGTGAGACTGATTTTGTATGTGTTGGACTAGATGGGCCTTTGGCCTGATCTCTTATGGGTCTGCCCGTAAAGACAAAGAAACTGCAGTTGGTCGAGAATGCCATAGCCCAGCTACCATCAGGCATGAAGAGGAACATACATTCTGCATACATTTCACTGGTTCCTGATCAGTTACAGGGTTCAATTCCAGGTTCTAGTTATAGAAGAAGAGATTGGATTTATACCCTGCCCTTCACTTGGAGTCTTAGAGCGGCTTACAAACTCCTTTCCCTTCCCTTCCCACAACAGACACCCTGTGAGGTGGGTGGGGTTGAGAGAACTCTGACACAAACTGCTCTTTCAGGAACAGCTGTGCCAAAGCTTGTGACTGACCCAAGGTCACATCAGCAGGTGCAAATGGAGGAGTGGGGAATCAAACCCGGTTCTCCCAGATTAGAGTCCGCACACTTAACCACTACACCAAACTGGCTCCTACAAAGCCCTTTATGGCCTTGAATCCAGCAGAACTGCCTCTTCTACTATACCCTACTGTGATAACTTTGCTCATTTGAACATATCTTCTGGAGGTTCCAGCCTGCAAATCTGTTCACATGCATTCTTTGTGGTGCTCCCACCTTGTAGAATGGCTTGCCTGAGGAGGTCAGGAAGGCTCTCACAGCCCTATCATTCTACAGAAGGTACAAACCAAAAATTTTTGAGAGGGTATTTTTACAAATGTAATATAATAAAACAATTCAGTATGTTTATTGTATGTGTGTGTCAGCTTTGTTTATTCTATCTACCACCTCTCGTTCTTTACTGCAATGCCCTCTACATAGGATAGACA